AATTTATACATCTTTACTATAGAAAATTAAAATGTCAGTAATTCAACAATGGAGTAAAATTTGTTCTCTCATATATTTTTACATGAATCGATAGAGTTCGTTGAGCTCTACAAAAGTGTAGTGCTGAAGTTGCTTACGCCATTCCTTTAAAATAACAAAGGTCTAATTTTATGGATAAATCTCATTTTTTTTTCTTTCATGCAGAAAATACGAGATTTTCAACAATTTCTAGATTTTCCAAGTTTTTGAATTTTTTATTTTAAAGAAATGGCATAAGCAACTTCAGCACTTCACTTTTGTAGAGCTCAACGAACTCTATCGATTCATATAAAAATATATGAGAAAACAAATTTTACTCCATTGTTGAATTACTGACATTTTAATTTTCTATGGCAAAGATGTATAAATTTCTCTGAACTTCTTAGATTCAATGTTACAAAGATCACAAAAACCTTACTATCTAGTGCCAATATATCCCATTTTTGATGAACTTTCATTTGGTATAAAATTCATAATATACTTCTCCTTGGATTAAAATTATTTCCTACCCTGTATCTTGGGAAATCCAGTCAGTTGATCACGTCCGTTTATATATAATATGATATTCTCATCAATTCTTTTTGATACAGACACTTACCTCATTAACACTTTAGGGAAATCGTATTAGAGACAGGACAGCCCAGCTATTGGCTAATGTCTTACGAAATAAAACGGTTACATCTATTAAACATTCATCTATCTCATAACCCTGTCTGTACTTTTTTCGTACAGGCACTCACCACACTTGATGTGTCCAGCAGTTATATCGAGTACGAAGGGGCACAATATCTGGCTGATGCACTGCAAAATAATAGGGTAATTATCATATCATTGTCATCTTTTTGACTTTTCTATCTGAGTTTCTTCGTACAGACACTCCAAACACTAGATCTTTCTCATAATGAAATTGGAGATAAAGGAACTCAATATCTGGCTAATGCATTACGAAATAACATAGTGAAATTCATTCTATCTTGTTATATCTTGTATCTCCATATCTAATTTTTCATAGACACTTCAAACACTTCGCAATGGAGGAAATAAAGTTGGAGCCATAGGAGGACAACATCTAATTAATGCATTGCAAAATAACACAGTGATCATCATTCTATCTCTATCTATCTCATAGCTTTATTTGCATTCTGATATAGACACTAATGACACTGGACGTGTTGATGTGTGACATGGGATTTATGATGGTTAGACAATTGAAAGAAATGATTCAATGGAACAAGGAAGGAAGAAGACAATGACTGCAAATCTATATGGTGGTTTACTTGAAGACATAATTCGCTTATTTTCGTTTTATGTATTTTTTTTTCATCATTTAACGAAAGGATTTGGATTTTTAGTAGTATTCGGTATCTTAGTATAAGCATGTTTTTATAGCCTTGTTGAAGAAGATTGCTGCTTATGAACAAATGAATCCGCTCATTTACTGTGATGTAGTTCAAATTAAGGCTGAATCATGCTTTTGTGTTCCATGCAGTGAATTAGACGAACGCTTTTTTTTTCTTGTCGAAATCAATTTTATTGGTTGTTTGTTGTCAATACAGAAGTTTGCGGCATGAATATATTAGAGAAACTACGAAGCATTTCGTCGTTGTTCGACGGACATATCAAGTAGTTATATCTTTGCAAATGTTAGATATAATGCAAAGATCTCACAAGCAGATACTGATACTGTTATTGATTTTTTCAATTCATGTGAATACTTAATATTCAGGAAATTAGATGAATTTCAATGAGATGTTTTCAATATTAAATCTGTTTTATTCAAATTTTTGATGACGTTCAAATAGTAAGATTAGCGCAAGGTGCTTGAATACTCTACCTGGTTGGATAACAATGACATCTTCAGAGAGATCTTTTTAGTTAATGTTTTATGTTAATGAATTTTTTCTTAGTAATCGGATAATATTGTATAAAAGAAAAATCTTTAACCTAAAAAAGGTTACAAGTATAAGAAAATTATTTTGAAGATGATTTCTGTATTTAAACACTCATTCTATAAAATATTTTCTAAACAAAATAGAGATATTTTAAATAGAAAATAGATAATCACCGTTAATAATATAGGGATAAAATCATCCTCAGTGAATGTACTGAGTTAAAGGTACCCGAAAAAGTATCCTGTTACCAGTATGTCACAAGAACTTTTCGGCATCAGAGTACTTGTAGAATTACTTAGTTGTAGGCATTCTAGACACTGCTGAACACATCCATAAAGACATTTAAAACAGATTAGTCATTGATAGAGAAAATCAGTTCGTCACATTCAAGTATTGAAAGAACTACTACGGACATTGCTATTTACTTGCATCACACAAAATTTTCTTCCTACAATTTCTGTTGTATGTCTCTGAAATTAAACGAATAGATGACACTTGATTTCGAACTGAATCGTATGCCTAATGACTCCTTAGAATAGTTAACAATCATCCGTAGCACATGGGCTCTCTTTTCTTTACTGAAATGAGTCTAGGTCTTTAGATTCAGAACTCATAATGTATCATTGTATACAACTGAATTATTCTAAGAACCTCTTAGATCCATCTGAGAAAGAAATGCAAGACATAAAAAAATATGTGATAATAAATTAGTTCGTCTACTTTCATAATTCTGCAATATTTATTATTTAACTTTGTTATTATTATCAGCTTCTATCTTTTATCTTTTGTGTATTTGCTATTTATTGTATCTTCATATTACACGTTTCTATAGACGTGATACACAAGAGCATATTCAAGAAAAAAAAACCACCGTTTAAATAATTACGACTATCTATATATTTGATAATAATGTTGTTTTGCCTATTTATTATTTCATCAATTTTTATTCCTATACAAACAATATCTATTGAAGACTCTAATTCAACAACAATTTTTCGTACTGATAAGTAAAGTATTTCAATTTTGAAATAAATGTTTAAATATAATTGATTAATATCTAGATTATCAAGAGTTGGTCTTGTGCTTGATTTTCGAATTTTACCCTATATTGGTAATGGTCACATAGCTACTGTTGTATACAGTGATTTTATTTATATGAGTGGACTTTATAATGGTGAAAATGGTTTGTATACTATTTTCTTGTTTTTCTATCTTGGTTTTTATTTTTAAACTAAAGGTACTAGCTATCGATCACGTTTTTCCAAGTACAATAAATTGGAAATTTATAATAATATCAAAATCATCATTATATACTTTAAATGTTTTATCAAGTAAAAAGAAAAGTTTTCTCAATTGTTTTAATTTAATTATATTCTTAGGTATATTCATTGAAACCCATGAAAATCATGAAGTTCGAACTGAACAACGTTTGTTTGCTTCGCAATAATATACTGAACTAATAGTTACTCATGTTGTATTGATTCGAGAAGCACCTAAAGGTTAGATTTTTGATTTTCATTTGTTTTTTTTAATAAGCTATTTTAGGACGGAAAATTGTTGTACCCGTTAAAGTACATGAACAGACAACGAGTGTTGATATTAATTTTACCGTTGCAACTCGTAATCCTCAATACGTGTAAATAAGATTTAATCTTATTTTTTTTTATTTTTTTTTCCTTTTAAAGTCTTTTAGTTGATAAAACACGTGAAATTGAAAATAATCAATTTCAACCAGAAGCATTACCTGTATTTGTTTATTATACACCATTACCACATAAAGGATTAGAACTTGATAAAAGACGAAACAAATCGAACATATCTTTTCTGTTACTTCAATTGATAATAATCAATCCATAGCTAAACAAAGTTTTTATTATGGTTATTTATTTATCAATATTTTTCGAATTACATAATAAAATACTGATTATTTTCAATAGCAACAATTGAGCAACAACCTGATATTGTATTATCATCACATATATCTCGATGGAATGATCTATGGTCAAATGGATATATTGATATAGAGGGAGATGATGAATTACAAAGACAAATCAATTCGGTTTTTTATTATATTTTAAGTTCTCTACCGCCTTTATCGACAAAAAAGTGAACCAAAACAATTTTATGGTTTCAGTCCTGGTACTCTTTCACGAGGTGGTCATGAGAGTGAAGATTATAAAGGTCATTCATTTTGGGATACAGAAACATGAATGTTTCTACCAGTTCTTCTTTTTTATCCAACGTAAATACAAACAACAATAATTCTATGAATTGATAAAGATTTTCTTTTATTATATTAGCTAAAGAAATATTATCGTATCGAATTGCTCTACATGATTCTGCAGCCTATAATGCTCATCTATTTGATTACGAAGGATGGAGGTATTAGATAAGTTATATGTATTTGTTTGTTCGTGTATAGTAGCATTGTTTTGAATAAGATTTCCTTGGGAAAGTGCTCGAACCGGTGTTGATGTAACACCAGATTGTTGTCCTACTGGTCGTCTTTATGAAATTCATATAACGGGTGATATTAGATACATTTGCTGCTAGACAATATATTTCAGCTACATACAATCAAGATTGATTATTGAATGAATTTAGTGGTGAATCAATTTATGAAAGAGCTCGATTTTAGAGTTCACGTGTTATATATAATAATGATACAAAACAATATGAAATATTGAGTAAAACACTTGTATGAAATAAAATTATTTTAAAATAGTATTTTATTTTGTTTTAGCTGTTTTACCACCTGATGAAGATGTTCAACCATTCAAAAATAATTCTGTTTATACAAATGCAATTCCTTCACTTTCTATTCAATTGGCTCATAATATTAGTTGCATTACTAATAAAATGATATCTCCACAATGCTTGGATATTGTATCGAATCTATATTTTCCTTTCGATAATTCAATTAGAACTTATATTGAATATGAAGGTTTTGATTTAAGTAAGTCATTGACTTGGTACACTTTTATTTAAAATAATTAATTTTTATTGATCATATTTGTTTGTCTAGATCATACTACTATTAAACAAACCGATGTTGTTCTTCTTGCATTTCCACTGATGTGGTCAATGAATGATGAAATAAAACGAAATGATTTATTAGCTTATGAACCTTTAACACGTGTTGATGGACTAGCTATGACTTAGTCAATGTATTCAATTGGATTTACTGATTTAGGTGATCTTGATAAAGCGGATCAATTTTTTCGACGTTCGTACAAAAAGTTATGTACGACCTCCATTTAATGTTAATAATTTACATTTTTTTTTCTGTTATTTTTTCATTGTTTTATTTTAATATGATAGGTATGGACTGAAACTCAATCAGGTGTTGATGCAGTTAATTTTATAACTGGTATTGGAGGTTTTTTACAAGCTGTTATTTTCGGTTATGATGGTATTCGTTTAAAATTAAGTCAACTTGAAGTTAAGCCTCAAAGTCATCTGCCAGGTCAAGCAATTAAATGCATCTTTCATGGTATTAAATATCAAGGATTTGTTCTTGATTTGACTATTAATAATAAGACCTATGAAATTATTGTCAGTTGTCAGAATAATAATGATACTATTCCTCTTGTATATGGATATGGACATCAACACAGTACGCTAAAAGTAAATGATCGTCTTTCATTTCCTATAGACACACTTCTTATTATTCGTCGATCAATCGCTCTTTGTCCTTGAAATTACATTTCATTAGTTATGCTTGCTTTATGGAATAAATATTTTTTTCATTTCTTCAGAATCTGACAGATGTTCATAGTAACATAAATTTTACTGAAATGACGCGTATCTCTATTCTAAGATTGCAGAACTCATATAAGAATTCTGAATACTTCGCATTCGAAATTTCTGAATGATGAGAATAATTTGAATGTCCAAATGATCGAAATTGTGGCAGTATCAAATAAGAAGAACAATGATTATTGCGTGTTATCAAATCGGTAAAGAAAAGGATAAATGTTGATGATTCTATGGTAGTCTGAATGTTTACTTTAGTAAAAATCAACTAAGTATTAGAGCATTGGTGTACAATATACTTTACATGTATTTTCTGCAGCATAATCGATGTATTGCCGAGTTCTTGCTTTTTAACTAAATCGTCTGAGGCCTCTAGAAATATCGAAATAGTCTATATTATTTTCCTGAAACCACTAAATAACCGAATATTGTAGTAGACCTTAACAAAACTCTTTATAAGGTCTCACCAAAAAAAAAAGAAGCGGCGCAAAATTATCAAAAACGACTGAGTGCGCGGAAGTTGAAGTTTATCACAAGCACTCACACCCCCTCGAAATTTTATTCTAAAAGTCTTATTATTCCAGAATTCGGATATATTCCAAGAGGATGTGATTAATGGCAGTTAAGAGTGAGAGTAACCAGCACTGATCTACCCTCACTCTTACACCCTACAATCTCACTCACACCCTTTGTTGCATGATTGATTATATCTGTTTAAAACTGGGACTCCTGTTTCATTAACATGATTTGTGTAGATGTTGTTACGGGATCCCTGAAGTTCGGGAGTCAAGAGTTCTTGGTCTATATTATGATAATGCGTTTTGGGGAGTGCGCTCTAAAAAAAAGATCATTTTCAAATATTTGAAAAATATTTCTAGAGCTTTTCACAATCATTTTGAAGCTATATTGGGTTTATATGAAACCTCAAAAATGTTTCGATTTGATTGCAAAAAAAGGTTTCGTATGGGTGACCGGACAATTCGTTGCAATGATATAATCCAATTATAACTTATCATTATTTTTCCATGAATTTGTTGACATTTGAGATGAGTTAGAAACACGTAATTCAATAAGTATGATAATTGCAGAGACTGTTTTTTATGACTTAACTTTGATTTTTGATCTCGATCAGTACAATAATTGTCTGGCACATAGAAAAAGTTAGATTCTCTGAATTATGTCAGCCGTAAAAGTTTTCTAATAGAAGCAGAAATGGTGTTGTATCTTTCTTTCAATTTCTATTGTAGCTCAGGATTTACGATACATAGAACAATAATTTGAGAGAATTAGTGAAACCTAGTGTTCACTAACAAAGATTGGCTTTAGCATAACCAAAGGAAGCTTTTGATCAAATCTGTGTTATTAAATATCCTTATTTATCGTAGAAACTTTATTAGTCTAAAAACTATCAACTCTTATATGACATGTTTAAAACTAAAATGGTTTGAATTCATCGATGATTTATACAGTGCTACCACTAGTTTTGCTGATTTCTCACCATTGAGGTTTTCACCTCATCAATATTAAGCATGGTGGAGAAAACAGATCTGATTATTTTTTTATCAAAGCAGAATTTCTTATGACAATACAAATCGAAATAAAAATTTACGGTTTATTCGTTAAAAACAGTCTTTAAAGTTGTCATACTTATTGAATTATGTGTTTCTAACTCATCTTAATATGTCAAAAACTTAATGAAAAAAATAATGATAAGTTATAATTGGATTATATTATTGCCACGCATTGTCCTGGTACCTCCGTATAGGTGTGGATGTTGCTCTGAGTCTGGCTCTTTATTCGCACCGTCTCTTTACCGACGCCCACATTCTCAAATTTACGTCTAGGTGAAGTGTGTGTATTGATAAGAAGATTCACGTTAGTAGGATGGTTATAGGCGCTGATAATAAAATTGCAGGCTTGCATTCTCTTCATGATGTCAATGTGCAATTTGTCATCTGTATATTAATACATGCGGCTCCTTTTTTTCCCCATTAATCAAGTCTTTTTCGTCGAAAATGAAAAACAAATTTAAATAATCAACCTATGCACAGTCAAAATAAACTTCATTTGTTTCTTACTACTCACGTAAGAAAAAAAGGCACTGCTTAATGAAGAATCGAAAAAGAAAAATAACAATCTTCTACATGGCATCATCTAGCTTTCTTCGTCACTTCAATTCACAAGGTGTATGAAATAGTGATTTTTTTTGTTTTCTATGTAAATAAAACCTTGCGCAACCTTGACGACAGCCAATAACGCAATTCATATAGAGATATCTATAAGAAGACGAAATGTCATAATAATCATACATTTCAACATATATGGCTTCTAGATTTTCTTATTCAATGGTGATTATACCTGTTGATCTTGTCTGTCGCATTCTGGATTATCTCGATGACGTGACAATTTACTGTTCAGTCCGCAATATTTGTACTAGACTCAACATGATTATTGATACCTATCCTCGATATACGGTAATTTGTGATATTGTTATAGATTAAAATTGTTCTCCTTTTCAAAATACTATTCAGTTGAAGAAACAATTATTTATTTCTGATAACATTAGCTTAATTTCTCCTTAGAAACTATTTCAGAAAAGTGTATCACTTTTCTAATTTTCTTTTGCAAATCCTTTACTCATATATATATATATGTATCGTTGGAGCAAAATTTTTCTTCTTTCATATCATTTCAATGAATTTTTCAATTATTACTTTTTTCAGTTTTATCAGAGATAAACATCAATCTCTTCTTGAGAAAAAAAATGGCGTACGACATACTATCTCTGTGACCGTGCTTGTGTGTATGTTTACCATTTTTAAAGTTGCGCACCACTTTGTATGATCAAACCGGTGCCTTTCTGTTTCTTTCTTTCTGATTTTATTAACGCGATACAACGCATTGTATTCATGCAGTTCGTTATTCGTTTTCTTTTTTTTCATATTTTATTTCCTCAGTATGAGTGTAGGTGCAGGAATGAAAATCCACACACATACACTACTGTAAGTGTTTCCTAGATATTTTTCAGATGATTCAATATAGCTCGGCAATATCTACTAAAATTCGGATATCAAAACAGAAAGCTATCATTCTATTTCTAATAAAAAACTTTGAAAAACTCAAAACGGCTACTAAAAATCCAGGACATTTTGAATTACAGAGAATATGATTAACTTTCAATATTTGAAGTAAGCGGGCGAGTACAACGTTCGGAAGCGTTGTTTAAAAATCCTCTATACAGTACTGAATATCGACGTGTAAATTTTGGACTATTCGGATATAGGGTTGTCAAAGCCTTATTGAGTTTATATGGATATTCTAAAATCTTTAACACTATCGAAATAGTTAAATTCATTTTTCTAACACTTCGTGATCGATGATAGAAGATGAATTTTCTTACCAAACCTAAAAAACGTTTAAAGAAGAATATACAGTTACTTTTCTATTTTTGGAGTAAATATGGTAAATTTCATATTGTGTTAGATATGTAAGTTTAATTTTTCCGAGTTTTATATTGCAGAGAATTCAAAATTTTTTGTGAATATTCATATTTTTGTAGGACTCATTGAAAAACTTATTATTGACAAGATTTTTATTAAGAGAACGTTCGTATGAAGTTTTTAATCAATGCGAATAAAATTTACTATTACAGAAATATTATAAATCTATCTTCAGTGACCATGTTTTCAAAATAAAATATGGACTAGAAGGGTAATTCTTTCGAAAACGTACCAGAGTTTACATCGACATTCTCCGAATGGAATGAAACTTTCAGAACTTGTAGAACTTGGGTCTGTATGAATAGTGCTGGGGTCGAAAAAATTTGAAAACCTTGCAAAGGGGTCCAAAGGGGTGGGTGTGGGTGTGAATATTGTCTTCACTGACACCCACAACATACATCCGCCCACATCCACACCCCACACCCTCAAGATAGTTTCTTTCTTCAATTTTCTAAATTTAACTTTGAACATTTGACTTCTAGCGAAAAGTTCTTAAGCCTTAGTTTTTATTTTTCATAGTCTAAACTCTTCAAAGTTTAATTAGCACTCTGATTTCAACCTATTGACTTCTAATGATGATGGTACATCAATAATTGAATGTCGAAAATTCTTATCAATATTCTAAATCTATTGTAGATAATAAACTGTTGTTTTGGATTATTTATCAATAGAGAGAATTCTATTTACTCTTGTGTAACAGAATTCTAGGTCACTCGGTTATTATGATTAGTACAATCGACGAAAGTCCATCAATATTATCATGATGCATAGACGATATATCGATTCTGTTCGTTTTAGGGTGTGTGTGTGCCAAATACAAGACGTTTGGAACCGACAGCGACACCGCTTATTGTACTAATTAGTTGGCTGATAGAAGATTGTTAACCCTTAAAAGCCCGATGGGGTTCCTGTGACAATTTGAAAAAACAAGTCATCGAAACTGGGCTTCTGATTCATCACTATGATTATATTATAGTAAAAAAATAAAATTTAATTATTCTTGTGAAGATATAGAATGTCCTTTCAAAAGGGACATTGCGTCATGACGGTCCGAAATTTTTACTATTATCAGTTTATGTAAAAAGTTTTTCTTTCAAATAATTTTAATTTCTTTGTTTATTGTTACTCAAAACAACGAATTGAAGCAATACTATACACTTTTTCAAAGTTTACACACTCTGTATTCCAATATAAGGCTTACTCATGGGTCATCCTAGTATGGAGTAGCAAGTATCAGTTAAGAAAAAGACGATCATCTTATGATTGTACTAATGGTTTTGCTTCGAAACCAAAACAGTTCCTAAATGCCATAGAAGAGCGAAATCGGGACTACCATTTAGAGTTCAAGATTGAGACGATGTCGGTTTCTTCTCCACCAAAGGAAAAAATTATGGAAATGACCGAAAATTTCCAAAAATTTTCGATGACGAGGTGAGGGAGCAGCTTTCCCTTGATTCTTCCAATACAATAGTCTTTAGTAGATCCAGAAATAAACGAAAATTCGCTCGCCCAATATTCATATTTTCTTTAAAGTTTTTGGCCCCTTAAAACCCAATGTCCCTTGGAAGGAACATTTTCTTCCTGATATTATAATGCATCAACAAATAGATTGAAATATTCAGAGAGGATCTCATTAGATAGCCTGATATTGTGCCTTGCGATGCCACTCAAAAAACCAAACTTCCACGCTGTATTTATGAATGTGCAAAAGTTTTACGATAAAAAATTACATTCAAAAAAAAAATTATGTCTTAAAAAGTCCATTGTTTCGTCTAACAGGTATTCAAGACTGATCTTTTTCTATTTTCATGATTTATCAGGTTATCTTAGTCCAAGAAAACACTCAAATTTGTATAGAAAGTTTTATTACATGTTTTATTTAGATTTTTTTCAGTGTCCCTTGGAAGGGACATAGGGTTTTAAAGGGTTAACTAATGCAGATTGTCGATTGTTTTCAAGAGTGGTATATACCTATTCCTCACTAGGTCGTGCCCTTACCTTACTTTTATTTTCTCAGCAACTGTAAAACATTAGTACAAAATTTCGGAGAATGTTTATATATGATTATCGAGATTTCTTATAAGACGCCAAATAAGTAAAAATTTCCGATGATGTGTCGATGGTATTTTTATTGTTTTTTAAACAGAGTTGTAGTATAAATGTAAATGTGCGAAGAAGAATTTCAATATTTCATTGAGCTTTATTGAATATGACAATATCAACTGATTGAGCATAATCTTCAAATCCACAAATTTTTTCTTCAAGAAAATCAGTTCCAACCTAAGAACACAAACAAAAAAAACAAAGCATTTATAATAAACAATAAATATAATTTACTTTATCATCTTCAACAACACAACGAATTTGTAATTTTTTAACACCATAAGCAACTGGTACGAGTTTAGCTGTAAATGATAAATAGACAAAAACAAAATATTAAAATTCAAACAAATCTAATACTAACATTGTCCCCAAACAAGACCATCAGCTTCAACTGATCTTACTGCTTTTTCCATAGCTTCAATGTCAGTTTCATCATCCCAACGTGTAACATCTAATACAATTGTGCTTTTGGCAATAATATTTTCCTCTTTAAAAAGCAAAAAAATAAGGTTCAATCAATTAGCAAAGAAAATTTTTATTTTACTGTTTGCTTTTTTTGCTGTATAATCAGCTAAACGTTTTTTTGTTTCTTCACTTTGTTCTTCATCATCAGAACCAAATAAATCAATATCATTATTATCATCATCATCAGTATTAGCAGCAGCCGGCTGTGATTCAATTGGTTTCTATAATAAATCAAGTTTCTACTTTCAGTGTGACGACAAAAGAAAAATGTTTTTCTCGAAGAGAACGAAAAACAAAAACAGATTTTGTCTAACCCCACTAGTCGATTGTTGGTTTGATTCAAGTTGTTCAACACGTCGTTTAAGATCATCGAGCATTTGTAAAATATTTTTATGTGTTGCTTCAATATTTGCTAGACGTTGTTCAGTATTGGTATTCATTTCAGTCGATGTTAGATTTGGTGTATCGATTTTGTTAATTATTTTTCAAACAGCACGAATTTGTTCACTTAAACTTGCCTATAAGATTTATGAGAAATTTATGACATTATAATATGTACTTCATAGAGAGTATGTATGTATTACGCGGAAGAGTTAATTAAAAATCAAAAATTTTCGTCTGTATTTGAGGAAGAAAATCTGACCTGTTCTTGTTTTGTTGGTTCAACTTTTGCTTGTTTAATTTGTCGAATAGAGGATGTTATAAGACTTGATTTTTCACTCTATAAAAACTAAATAATTTAATAGAAGTTTAGAAATTATCATTAACAAAAATACAAAAACATGATAATGTGTTCGTTCAGCAAGTTCAGCTTCATATTTAGGAAACCAAGTTTTAACATGAATTAAATGTTCAAGCATGACTCTTGTTTTTTTTCTTATCGTTTAAAGAAGGTAAAAAAGAAATCTAAACATACTGATGAATAAAATATACATATTTATACGTTTACAGCATGTTGACATTTATAATGAAAAACATTATTCATCTATTACATAGTTTCGATGTTAGTCTCTTTCACTCTTTACACTGCGTCTATAGAACATTTCTGTTACATATATGCGTATTTGAAAACGAAATACATACAATGTTAGAAAAGCTAACAATTCTTAAATTGCTTCTTTTACTGAATTTTTTGCGTATATCACAATGTGTACCAAAAATGAAAATAGAAGTATTTCGAACTGAGATACAGGTCTATTAATGACCAAAATTTACTAAAAATTCCAGTTAAAAGAACTATTTCATTTTTGAGACATTAGAGCCCAAAGAATTAATATATGCTGTGCTGTAGGCAAAAATTTCAGTAAAAGGAGTAATTTGATATTTGAAAATATCCTCTTTTTTTTATACATCTACACTCTTCAAATTTAATGATTAAAAGAAAAATAAAATTATTTTTAAATGATAAGAAAAGATTGGAAATGTTCAGAAGCCATTTTTCTTTTTGTTCTCTAGTAATTACTATAGTTC